GACAGTAACAGTAACATTGGTAAGGGTTTAGTTCTTGCTGGTTGGGTTTATATATAGAGATCTATGTTCAGAATAATTTGGGTATCTCTATAGAGATATGTTTTTAATATTCTTATTTAAAACATTTAGTGCCCCTTAAGTTTCGAAATATCCACTCATTAGGTATATATTCCCTGAAGGTTCAGGTTGTTTCCTTTCTAGACACAAACATGCATACATACTGAGGGAGCCATGAAGTACGGAGCCTTCCAATTCCATCTGTACAGTGTCTCCTGAGCAAAACTCTGCAAATACGAGTAAATGATCACACTTACAAGAGTAAGAATAAATATTTTTATGAGCAATTAAAATGATAAAAGTAATGAAGTTATCTCATTTAAAAATATTTTTACCATTAAATTCATGTTGTTGCAAGCTTCAAAATTTGGCTCCAGTTGAGTAGTGGTTAGTCAAGAGGTTTTGAATAAGATTTTAATATGTGTATCTTCTAAAAATTTTTATTTCTGGTAGTTGAATTTTAATTATATATGTCAAAGTGCTTATGGAAAAAAAACAAATTAATGATCTTTCTAATTGACATACTTCCCATGCACTGAAATAATTATTGTTTATAAAAATTATTTATAGTATAGAAATTATTTTGGTCAACTTCCTTTTTTTGTATTGTGTTTAACTGTGTGAGTCTACTCACTTAGGGACCTGCAATATCATAAAAGGTTAAACAAATTATGAATCTGGAATGTGACAATAAAATTTAGAAAAGTCATATGTATTTAGTTTCTATGTGGTAGAGATGCCCTTGATACATTTTACCATCAGATAACTTCCCTTTAAGGCTGAGACACTGTACCATTTTAGGAAGTCAGTTGTCCTTTTCCCAGACTTGCTTTTAAGTCTCTCACTTCTTTTATGGTGCCAGAGATATACACTTGTATATAAGGAAAGCAGCTATTTAAAATAGTTTTATTTAAGGGTGCCTGGGTGACTCAGTCAGTTAAGTGTCTTACTCTTCATCTCAGCTCAGGTCATGATCTCATGGTTTGTGAGCAGAGCCTGCTTTGGATTCTCTCTCTGTCTCTGTCTCTCTCTGTCTCTCTCTCTCTGTCTCTCTCTCTCTCTCTCCCCCTGCCCTTTGTCCCTCAAAATAAATAAATAAACATTTTAAAAAATACAAAAAGGAAATTGTTTTATTTGGCCACCTTAATTTACCACCATGCTAGAAGTTATTGTCTTAAATTAATCTATATTGATATTCAAGCCATGTTTCAGGCAAAACATATATATTGTGGTCTCTAAATATCCCCCAGTGTTCAATGTTTTAAAATAATATGGTTTTCAAATCACTTAAAAATAGAGACATGACTAGAAACAAACTTAGAACAAAATTCTTACTGAATTGTTGTTTGAAAAAATGGAGCCTGGGACAGAGAAGCACTATATTTGAATCTATCAGCACCTTTATTTTCTTAGGCTAATATTGTTTCTCAGTCTGAGAAGTGAAGTATCCTGGCTTACAGGGAGGATTAAATGAGACAATAAACATAAAAATGATTTTTCAAAAATACAAACATTCCTATATAGGTACAGCATAGAATTCTGTCAATTTTACTTTAGTCCTAAAATAACTGATGACCCTTTTAATGTGAGTACTACTCTTATTATATTTTTAACTCAAACCTCTATCTTATGACAATTTGGATTAAATTGTCAATTTAAAATGATTACATGTGAGAAACTATGAAGACGAGAGATCTCTATACTTTAGAATAATAGAATTTTTAAAAATTCTTTGATATTAGATTGAACTTAATAAGTGCCCTGAAGACAAATGCATCTTTTAAACTAATTATCTGCACTGTGTATTCTATTTAATATTAAAATGATACTGATTAAATAAAATCAATCACATTCCTCTGTAGTCACACCTCACATTTGATTAAATACAAATATACAGTTCCTGTATTAATTCTTATTAAAAATATATTACATTTAGAATTATACAGTCATGATAATTTTCAAAAAGTAAAACATTTACTCCACTCATCCTTGATATTTAGAAATTATATACAGAGGAGTATAATTGAAGTATTAAAATATATGAATTTGTCCTCTAAAAAGTTTCTTGTTTGCATTTTATCTGGATGCCATAGTTTTCTTGTTGTAAATCAAGAGTAAGCCTTTGATAGGCATGTTAGTTTAATATACACTCTTTGCCTACACACCTTGATTACAAGTGAGCTAATACAGACATCGTTTCATCACTCTTATTATTGGAAAGAATTTTTAGTGTTGCTGTCAGAAGTTTGAGTGTTGCTAGAGACAATTCGCTGAGCCGATGGCTTTCTCTCTTACACATTCATGATTTCTTTCACTGCTGCACTCTCAATTTTGCTTGATCCTGTTACTTATTCTTAGTCAACTTCTTGCCTAATCTCAGAGATGCAGTGACAAACTTTCTACTATTTCCTTACTTTCTTCATGTCACTACTTCTCTGCCAACATCACTCACTCTCAGTAGATGACCCATATCCCCACTACCTTAAGAAAAAGAAGCCTGCAAACATGAATATCCATAAATTACCAATTCTCCACCCAAGTGGTAGCAAAGTGCCAGCCAGGGGATAATTTCATTCTAATTTGTCTTTTGGGGAGAGAGTGCCTTAATATAGGTTTTCATAATCCAAGTTGGCATAATTTTTGATTTTGTTACATTGACCCACATGAATCCAATATAGCCCCAGCCTCCATTATTATTTTTCCATCATACAAGCAGCAATATATATTTTATTATGTTGAATCTTTTACATATAAATTGCAGGTAGTATGACACTACATCTCTAAATATGTCAGCAGGCATCTTCTAACATTAAGGACAATTTTTTAATACAATTTCCATACTATTATATCACACCTAGGAATATTAACAATATTTCCATAATATTAGTCACTAACCTGTCTGTATTCAAATGCTTAAATATATCACAAAAATGTCTTACAGTTTTTGTTGGTTTGTTTGTTTGTTTGTTTTTGTGATTGAGGTGGGAGGGACAGTACCCATTTGAGATTTTTTCATTGCGCTTGCTGTTATTCTAAACCATTTTGACAACTACAATCTTTTCACTTGGCTTTCCATTGCCTTGCTCTGTACATACATGTGAGGTGAGCATAGATTCTTCCCAAGATAGAAGGCATCTGCGACTCATGTCCTGGAGACTGTTTGACGGGCATCCTAATTTTTGCTTGAGAGTCTCTGGGACTTTCCTGGGCCCATGGCATCAGATTGGATAAGGAATCACAGGATAAGGTACTTAATCTGGATTGGAGGGAGAGCAAACATTTACACATTATAATAAAGATGGAAGAATTACAGTCATGTCTTAAAATGTTTATCCAAATCTAAGCTTGAACTAAGAGCTGAGAAAGAAAAAATAGGAAAGCTGACAAAAAAAATTTGAGGTGACCTAGATTGAAGTTAGCACATTTTCCCCACCACTCATTATATCAGGTTTTATGCAGACTGATTGGACTGAAAAGTCAAGAATATTACTGAAATCAGAAAGCTTTCAATGGAAGTTCTATTAAATCTGTTTTCAGTGCATCTAAGAAATGGCAAATACTTCCATAAGGTATTCCTGTTCATGGGCTAGTTAACCCAAGTTCATCCTTTCAGACTTCATGACTTCTTTTGATGAAAAATCTGCAGCTGAAATATTTATTACTTACATGACAAAAAATATCGTCTAAATAGAGTTGTATTCCTGGCCACTTCAAATCTCTGTGTGTCTTCTTTAGATCCCTTCTTCTTCTGACCCTTTTGCATGCTCTGGATCCTTCTAGTTCTCTATCTCTATGCTGAGTAACTGGAAGTCACCTCAGCTTCATTAACCTCAGATGTAGCTATTTATTCTTCTGTTTCTTGATGCCTTCTTGTACTTACACTGCATAAGGGAGTAAACTAATATCGGTGTTCTCAGATTTTTCAGATCCATCTTGGATATCCATTTAGAGTCGCTTTCACATAGCCCAATCCTGCGGGTAAACTGGCATATAATGACCACTCCCTCATTTTCAGAGACACACAAATGTCTAAGACCTCCTAGCTTCACATCCAGTTTTCATACTTAGTCTCACCACACACACTCCACCATTAGAAAACTTTATCTAGTATTGTGTGTGTGATTTGTCAACAATTCCTCCAAATTTGTCCTGAGTTCCATAGGACATAGACTTTTAGAATTTGGTAACTTTTTTTCGGTTTTTTTTGTTTGTTTGTTTTGTTTTTCCAGAAAAAAAAGCTTCCCACTATGACTCAGAAAAGGAGGGGTGGTGAATAATTGAAGATGCATGGTCGTGAAGACCAACTTCACTGTGTTTAATGTTATCTTTTTCTTTTTTTAAAATTACTCTCAAGTAAAATTTTTCTACTTATTGAATAATATTTTCATTTTTTACTGGTGCTAATGGAATTTTTTTCTCTTATTTCCAGAAAAATCCCAAAATAAAATCAACACCATAAGCTATGTCTCCATGAAACAGATACTGAGTAATTTTAGCAAGGAATGAGAGTTGGACTGGAAAATGGAAAAGTAGGCCGGGTAAATGGGCAACTAAAAAAAAATAGTAGGAATGGTTTATGAAGGATAACAAAACTTGGAGATGAGTTCTTATTAAAAAATATGAATGTAATAGATCAGTACTGTTTCAGAGAGATCTGTGAAGCAAGCCAACAATATTGACCAATCTCCTTTGGGTGGATGAAGTTGCATTTTGGATAAGTAATACACAACCTAACCCACTGTGCATTACAGCATTCCTTATTTTGTGACAAAATATTTATTCATTTATGTAATGGAATTAAGCAGAAAAATATGACAAGGAAATGTATTTTGTATTTATTCATTTATTTCACAGAATAGTGGTATAAGAACCTTCATTGGCATTTGTTTTCAGTTTGACTTTTGTGTTTTTTAGCTTTAATATGAACTTCTCTTTTTCAGCAGACTCTGTCCACTTCAGGAGTTTCAGTCCCTGAGGTGCGTAAGCAAAAAAAGGTTTTCACACTTGGCCATTATAGGTCATTATAGATCTTTCCATTGTTATAATGAATATTTGGGGGTATCTCAATGACCTACTAATATCAATCTGTTAGTTCATTTTGTCTCATATTCTGATGTTTAGAATTGAGCATCTTTGTTTTTTTAAGTTTATTATTATTTTTTAAAAATTTATTGTGTGAGAGAGAGAGCAGCTGGAGGAGGGTCAGAGAGAGGAAGAGACAGAAACTCAAGCAGGCTCTGCCCCATTAGCACAGAGCCTGATACAGGGCTCAAACTCACAAACCATGAGATCATGACTCAAGCCAAAAATCAAGAGTCAGAACCTTAACTGACTGAGCCACAGAGGTTCCCCTGGGAGATTTATATTTTCATGATGAGATATGCTTGAAAATGTTTCAGTCTGCTTTTGTGACAAACATTAGGAAAGCAAAAAGTTATGTGAAACAAAGTATACGAAGAAAAATAAAAGTTGTTTTGCAGAGTTTTGACCTGTGTATAAGAATAGCATCATTCCTGTTTGTCAAGTCAAAATGTAAATACCTTACAGAAAGCTCAAACAATCAAAGCTCTATACCATTAAAATGTAGTTTTCAGTGATAGTTGATTGAGAAACTCTTGCTCACTTTGAAGTGCCCATCATTTTTAAAAGAGTACATCTGCATTAATCACTTAGCATATGACAGTATCTAGAAAGTCATTGGAATAAAATACAGTCACAGAAAAAATGACTTTTATTTTGAAAATAAACATAAGTATTGTCACACCATTTATTTTCATTAAAGTGTTAGCTTATCTTTGTATTAATAAAGAAAGCCTCCACATTTTTCTGTGACCCTATTCTATTCAATTGTTTTTATCTTTTTTTAAATGTTTGTTTATTTTGAGAGGGACACACAGAGAGAGTGAGGGCAGAGAGACGGGGAGACAGAGAATCACAAGCAGGCTCTGTGCTGTCAGTGCAAAGCATGACATAGGGCTCGATCCCACAGACTGTGAGATCATGAACTGAGCTGAAGCCAAGAGCCAGATGCTCAACTGACTGAACCATGTAAGTGCCCCTCATTTATTTTTATCTTTAATAGATATGCTCAGATGGTATTGTTTCTCCTAAAATTATAATTTGAATCAGCTCCATTGGGAAAAATATTATTTGTAGTATAAGAATACTATATAAGAATATGAATTTATTGAGAGGAAAGCATAACTGTACAAAAATGTAGTAACCTCTCTCCCTTCTCCCCCCAAAAAAGTTTTCCGATTAGTGTAGACTGCTTCATGAAACTTTTAAAACTTTCATTTTGTAATCAGGGATATACTTAAAATCTGGAAATATGCTTGAAACAATAATGTTTCCAATCTAAGAGAAATATTAAATTAATTTTGTATTCTTTAAGTCAGTTGATACCATTATTATCATCATTATTATAAAAGAAATGATGAATCACACACTCAACTGACAAAGCTTCTTGGAAAGTTTATCAGTTTAATTATTTAAGTGTAAGAGAGATGATTTTGTATATTCAGGTGTTTCAGTTTATTTTTGCCCCCGAATATAAGCACTATATTTGAGATTTAAAATTTTTTCTTTAGACTTGATAATCTCCATAGGTCTCCCATATTCAACTGTATAATCTGTATCATATGAATAGAAATAATAGACCAAAATTTCACTTTTCAGTAAAGTTATTAAAAGTCTTCCTGGAAAGATATATTGTTTTATATTAACTTAGACTTTTCACCATCCTCTGAAATCATCATCATATGAGGTGTTTTTTTTTTTTTTCAACTCTGTTGTTACAAAAATTTTCTTAAGTCCATATGTGGATATATTCACTTGTGAGTGTGTGAACACACACACACATACACGCACACACATGAATTCCTTTGTTCTACTATCAAGAACAATTGATTGTTAGGTAATTGTTAGGTTAATATATATGTGGAACAAATATGGAAAGACATAGACATACCTTAAACATTTAATGTGAAATATGTAAATGTATATATTATTGGCTACACTTTTGATGTAGATTTAAGGACTTTTCTATGAGGACATATCTGTTGTTTAGAAGTTGTATATAGCCTTTCTTGCATATCTTACAGTCTTATCACCTTCAGTTATCAATTGTTTTGAAGCATAAGTAAAGCATTCCTTAGTTAATGAAAAGATATTCATTTATTTATGAAAATAATTGTCTTTAATTATTTTCAATTTTTGAAGTATAACAAAAACAGGCATCTATAAAACAATTTAAGTGTAAAATAACTCTTAATATTTTTTAAAGTTTATTCTGAGAGAGAGAGCACAAGCAGGGGAGGGGCAGAGAGAGAGGGAGAGGGATAATCCTAAGTAAGCTCCATGCTGTCAGTGCAGAGCCTGACATAGGGCTTGATCTCATGACCATGAGATCGTGACCTGAGCCAAAATCAAGTTGGTCACATAACTGACTGAGCCACTCAGGCAGCCCAATAATTCTCAATTTTTATTAATTTTCAAAGTTTTTACAGTTATTGTGTCCGAACCCAACTGGACCACTCCTACACACGCGCACACACACACACACCACATCTTATTGTGTCCTTCCGAAGCATGAGAGTTATTTTCACAGAAACAACTTATTTTACACTCATAATTTAATGGTTTGAGTAATAATTAAATCACATAGTTATAATAACAAGATAACAAATTCTACTTGAAGCTGGCATAAACAGATGGGGGCCATCATAGTAAGTACTATGTGGAGCATTTAACTCAGCTGGTTGAAAGACGTGATGAATATGAACAAGCAAGAGCACTACCTCCTTGCTTTTAACCTTTGGCTCAACGTGTCCATGATGATGGTTACAGAGGGAATGGAGAGTGAATGAATGAGGTGTGTATGCACACATATGGTTTTATAAAGTCACAACCATATACAGACAAATAGCCCAAAGCAAAAGATTTTGCCATAGGCCTACTCATTCCTAAATTTCATTCCTTCCCATCAGGATTTCTTAAACAGAAATCTTGTAAGCGGTTTACACCCAATATGAAATTACCCTAAGAGAAAATAGTCACATGGTATGTGATGTGTGAAAAAAAAGACTTGTGGACCAAGCTGCAAATTGTGTCTCTGGGTTTAGCTGGTGAGTAGCACTTCCAGGTGCCTTAAGGCTAGCTTCCATTCTGTTGAATTTTTTGTCTCCCATCTCCTCCAAAAAGACCCCACCTGGATCCTGGCACCACTTATCCCACACAGAAATGGGGACACAACAGACATGTAAAGTACACAAATTCAATGAAGTATTTCTTCACAACACCCATCTTGCACTACTATGATCTAAGCAGCATAAGGGTTTTAAGTTAAATGACAAAATATGGCAATATACTTTTTTGTAGTTTAAAAATTCTGCCATTTGCTAAGTGCCTATTTTATGCTGGTATCTTTATCTACATTTTCTCAATTTATCATCACACATTCATTTTATAAATGAACCCAGTGGTAGCTTAGAGATAGCAAATAACTTGCCCAAGTTTGCATGGCAAATAAGGTACAAATCTGGGATTCGGCCTCCAAGCCCATACTTAGGACTTTGCCCCCAGTAGTTTTTGTTTTATAATAAGTCCTTACTTAATTAAATTAAAAAATATGAAAATATTTATAATACATCAATTATTATATTTATGTTTAAAGCTTTCTAATCTATTTTCTTTTTAAATCAAGTGCGCTTTGCTTCCCAGCCATAATAAATTATGCTGCAACTTCCAAGGATTCCTGGTAGATTTAGAGCCTTTGCTTTTTCCGAGTGAATTTGTTTCTCCCGGCAGGAAACAACTCCAATTTCACAATAAGGTCACAATAATTAAAAGGGCAGCTTTGCAGCTGTCAGCCTTGCTTTCATGGAGCCCATAACCCTTCTAAATGCCAATGAATTTGGTGGCACATCTGCTTCCACGAGCTCAAAATTGTATGTTGGGAATATCTAACTATTATCTTGGGTTCAAATTCCAGAGTTCCTGGGAAATTCCTGGGGCCTAGCCCCAGTGGCAGAAAGGGCTAAGTCTCCACTCAGGCAAGTGGTTCTGTAACAGAAAAAGCAAGTTCCAGGACTAGCTAGAAGGATGCTGTTGCACCAGTGCACCAGCCCACCCTGTTGTGGCTTTGTACCAATGGAGGTGCTTTGCTGCTTCCTGTCCCTCATGCTGAGATTGGACAAAAAGAAGAAAGCCCTTTGCTCGAGGTAATCATCACTTGCTGCTTGTAGTTTGTGAGTGATCGATAACAGCAGGCTCAAGTATTGTGGTAAACATCCCCTTTGTGAATTTTTTTTAGAGCACAGGTTTAAAGGGATGTCTTTTTATTTCATTTATTTCATCTTTCTGTTTTCTGTGAATGGTCCTTTCGGCTTTTCTTCTCGGTTAATTATGGTAATTATCCGTTTTGGCATTCTATTACAATGTATCCCCCAGTTAAGATCTGTTGTACTACTTAGCGAGTCTGAGGATCACAAAACACTGAATTCTATATTCAAAATGTCTGCATAGGAAACACAAATGGCTGATACTTGAAAATGCTGAAATATCAATAACTATATTTTATTTTTTGTAGTCATATTTTCTATATTTTAGGGGGGATAGAGTAGCTCCTTTCAGTGTTTGAATAATTTCTATTGATTAGATCAGTAAATTTCCAACTCTTTTTATATCTGGGATAATTTATCTGGCAGAACAAAATTTGTCCTGATTATAATAAGGTAATTTATTTTGTGGTTTAAAGCCCAAAAATGTAAAAAAAAAAAACAAAAAAAAAAAAACAAAAAAAGCAGAAGGTGAAGTGTTGACCACTGCCCCTATTATCAGAGAACAATTTTATCCTGAATAATGATGCAAAATAAGGTTGGTGAGTTCTTGAAACTTTTCAATAATTTCAACACCGGGAGTAATTCTCTTAAATATCACAATAAAGATCTGCCATTCAGAGTTAATTAACCCCCAAAACTGGCTAATGTAATTTTTGTGGACAGCAGATCTTTCAAAGATGCAATTGCTCTCCCTTCCTGTCCCTGATATAAAATATGAAAGAAGTAAAGATTTTCTTAGTGGAAAGAAGAAAAAGTATCCAACTATCCTTCTATGAGCTTATGCTGCTTAAATAAAGTATAGTGGGTATTTCATTGAGACTGCTCTACAATTTGGAAATAAAAATAAAACAAATGAGTACAATAGAATGATAACTCTGGGAGAAAAGTAAATACTTACAGGTTTCTCCTGTTTATAATTCTCAGCCTTGATTAATTCCACACATTCTACCTACTTGGCATATTTCCCACAACCAGAGAAACCTCTTGGTTTTTTTGGTGTGTGTGTGTGTGTGTGTGTGTGTTTGAAAAAATGTTTACTGTTAGCATTATCTAGATTATATAATAAGATTCACGTATAGGTGGATGTACTGAGACTTTTTTTATTAACTTCTATACCTCTTATAATTTTAGATTTCAAAAACAAAATCTTAGTTGAACACTCAGTGTAGGATTTACAATTTTGTTTTTATATCTTACAAAGGTTACTATAAAACATTTGCTTCATCTACTCCAGTTTACTCAGAAAGATGACTTCCTGGAGAGACCTGAAGATGCTTAACTGCTTTTGACTAGTTGGAGAGTCTCAGCAGAGGAATTTTCCCACCTATGTGCACTGCTAAGAATAAAATGAAGTTAATGGATAATTTGGTGGTTGTTTACAGACATACACTTACATGTCTCAAATTTCCATCATTACATATATAAATAGTTTGGTCACAAATATCCAGTTCCAGTATGACTAACCAACTTAAATTTTATTTAATTCTTGTAACCTAAACATTTTAGGAATTAAATGCCAAATAACAATTGTTGGATTATATCTCAGAATATAAGGTATGATAAAATAAAAGGTATATAAGATAAGGTATATCTTCTACACTGCAGATTTTTATAAAGTATTTGATAGAATATTGCATATTTTATATATCTGCATGCAATTATCCAGAGATTGTTTTCATACTTACCCCCAGTATTATATTTTTGAACTCCTAATATAAGCTATGAATTTTCAAATGTAATCACTGAGACTTCCTTATTTAATATACTTAATGTAACTAAGTATAATTTTTCATACACATATACACTTGGAAATCTAACAAACACTTTGCGTAATACTAATACTAATGAGCGCCATCCTGAGAGAGCCATACTTTCTTATTTGTAATAACTTTCATTTATTGAGCATGTATTCTAATCCAAGCACAATGTTAGGAATTTCTGTGTTTTCCATTAAATTTTGCACAACTCTGAGAAATAGGTATTGCTATCTCCATTTTGAATGAGTTAAGTGCTCCAGGGTTATATAACATTTAAGTAACAGAAATGGGATTCAGCTCAGGCTTTCTGACTCCAAACCTCATCCTATAATCCACCCTTTCTATGCATTATACTCTTAACTCTCTAGGGACAAAATTGTAATTTGTAAATTTAGAAAAAATGATCTGTCTTTAAAAAAATCAATATTTTTGCCAGAAATTATGCTTATGTGAAAGTACATCATTTTCCAAAGAATATGAATTTCAGGAATCCTATTACACCATCCATTTTTAGCCACACAAAAAATATATTCAGTGATTTTACACCATGAAATTGCAAGGTAAATGGACTGTATTGATTAGCATCTATTTTGGTCTGAGAAATTTTCTGATCCATCTGGCCCTAATAGAGTTAAAAAGAGCTTTACTTGTAAGTCCAGTTAAAATATGTTTCAAAATTATAGAAATTGATATGATGCTCTAAGAAACAAATATAGGGACTAGAAAATATATGTTCCTCAAATATTTAAGCATACATGGCAGACATTGCTTTTTGATCAGAACAACTTTTCACACCAAGCCTAGACATGGCCCAGGAATCCTTCTTGATACAATACTATTAAAAACTTAAAAAAATTGTTTGACTCTTGATTCACTTATTTCTCCATTCATTTATCCTGATTTTTGTTAGGCACTGATTTAGGATCTGATATAGAACAGTGAAGCAAACCAAGCCCTTTTTTCTTCTGGAGCTTTGACTAAAAGTGGAGATAGACCATCATTAAACTAATTAAATAGGAAACATTTGAGGTTGTAATAAATTATATGTGTGTGTAAATATATATATATAATAAAATTATATGTATATATTTATGTACTACATATTATATGCATATAATATATATACTTTTATATATAAGTATATTTTTATTTCTATAAAAATAAGCTAAAGGGAATAGAGAAGCCAATCTGGCATTTGAACAGAAGGCTGAAATAAGTGAGGACCATATCCAGAGCTTTCCACCAGAGAGAAGAGTGATGGTCAAAGCTCTGAATTAAGAGTTTGCTTGTGATCAAAGAATCACGAGGATGTGGGGATAGCTGGAGTGGAGTGAAATAGGATGAGTGTGGCTGTTGTATAGAGAATTGACTGTAGGGAGACAAAGATGGAAGCAGATTAGCTGATGGTTACAATAATCCAGACAAAGAAGATGGCAGAGGCTTACAGTATGCACTATTGGTGGTGGTGAGTAATCGTCCAGTTTGGGATTTATGTTCAAGGAGGGTAGGCAAGAAATACAAGAAAAAGATAGTTTTTGATATTTTAGGACTTGTGTGTTTTAGACACTCATGGACAGATAGAAAGGGCATTTGTATGCAGCAATTAAAGTTTAAGGGAGAAATCTGAAGAGGAACTATAAATTTAGAAATGTTCCTCATAAAATTGAAATTCAAAGCTTTGGGATTTAATGAAGTTGCCTAGAGAGTGAGGGTAGATAGTGAAGATGAGCCATTCAAGGAAGAGGTTAAGTGTTATGGACCATAAACCTAGAGAAAGAACAAAAGAGAGACTCTGAGGAAGCAATTAATGAAGTAGGAAGAGAGCGAAAAGTAAAAGAAAGATGCGTCCAGAACCCCAGTGAGGCAAGTGTTAAAGAGGGAGGAAGAGGTCAATCCTGTCAAATGCTGCTAAAAAGTGGAAAAGATGAAGCCTGCCCAATAGGTATGGCAATGAGAAGGTCATTAAGATTTTAAGAAGAGCAGATTCAGTGGATTAATGGTGATTAAGTCAACCCAGGGAACCTTCATTGAGTTCATTGGGTTCAGTTGAAGAGAGAGTGGGGAAGCGGGGAAATAAAAACTGGAGGCAGACAACTTCAGGAAATGTTTCCACTATGGTGAACAAAGGAATTAGCTGGGATGGAATGTGTGTTTTAACTTTTATGCCATGCTTGATACAAATACCAGCTTACAAGTTCATCATGTGTTAGTTTGAAATATTGCCTGCATGTATAAGCCTTGTTTTTAGTACTCAAGAACAAACTTCTTAAATTATAATTCCATATTATTTATTTCTACCATTCCTTATGGAAATAATTAGCCTCACTGGTCCTTGATAAAACTTCTGATGAAGAGTCCTGATGGGGCACATAGAGGGAACACCGTCTGGCTTTTTTTTTTTTTTTTAATGTTTTATTTATTTCTAGGAGAGAGAGAGAGACAGCGTGAGCAGGGGAGGGTCAGAGAGAGAGGGAGTCACAGACTGAAACAGGCTCCAGGCTCTGAGCTGGCAGTCAGCACAGAGCCCGACGCGGGGCTCGAACCCACGAACCGCGAGATCATGACCTAAGCGAAAGTCGGACGCTTAACCGACTAAGCCACCCAGGAGCCCCCCGTCTGGCTTTTTTTAACTGATAATTAATTTCTTTAAGATAATTGAAGAAAATAATCATTTTTGTTGTGCCTATATCATGTGGACTATTGCAAGCAACAGCTTTCTTAGTATTCACTAGAATACTCCAAATTAGGAACATGGGCTCAAGTCTATAGCCAATAAAGTCTTCTTTGCGTTCCCCTTTTTAGTAAAACAATATTCTTATAAAAGATTTTCTCCTTACAGGAAAGACAAGCAACAGTGAAAAAGGAAAAAGGTAGTTCCCAGCAGTCAAATAAAGTAACTGACAAAAACAAAATGCAAAGAGCCAACTCCGTGACCGTGGATGGGCAAGGCCTACAGGTATGACTTTTTCAATCAAATTTTAGTGGCTTTCATATTTGTTCCTTCTATGATCTTACAGGCACATATGTCCAGCTATCAACACATTTATTTAATGTGCAGATTAGCTCAGCGGAGGACTTCAGAAGGATCTTTATTAATTTATCAAGATGACAGTTTTATGTTTGATTGACAGAGTGACACTCTGATTATATTAATCTCTCACAACGTTATCTGTATTTAAGCCTAAATGGTAAGAGTTCTTTTACAGTTCCAAAGGTTTTGCCAATCAATGCTAAATGTCCACGTGTTATAGGCATACATATTATTTATTTACAACTTTGCTTTTTCCACATACGTTGTTTATATATTTGGAAGAATCATTTTGTTGGCAAAAAAATGTCTAGGGAAAAAATGAACTTCATGTGTGTGGATACTTTTATTGCTAAGAAATAATAAAATAAAGGGTGTTTATGATTTGTTTATATCTTTCTTTAGTTTTAATTCATAAAACTTCATATATATTTCTAGTTTAAGTAAACACAGGTAGCTCAAAATCATGTTTTAGCACCCTAGTATCTCTGACATTAGCAGTAAGATTTCTTTCAATTTACATTTTAAGACATCCTACAGATTTTATGTATTCTCTTTCTCTGCATTTGTTTCTCACTCCAACATAAAAACAACCCATGAAGTTGGCTAAATCTTTGTTACATGTTACGTTCATTTTTTCTTTTTTACCTATATATTTCTCTCTTCTAATTTTCATTTTCTTTTCTTATAACAATATGCTCTAAGTTTCATGTTCTCCAGGAAAATTTACCAACCACTCGCTAAACAAAAATATATTTTGTCACATACTTACCTTCAATATACATAACTTTGTATCTTCACTTTTCATTAATTAGTTTATTTGTGATACTATGGATTGTGTGTTTTATATTTCTTAAATTGGAGCAACAATTGAGTGCTCAAAGTAGTTGCCTAAATGTATGTTTCTTCATTATTTTAAAGATATCATTAAAAATTTAATAATTGCCTAAATACTGATAACCAAATTGGTGATTTGTTTTTAATCTAATAAAACATGTTGTGAACAGAAATTTTTTTAAGGGTTTTTAAACTCACATATAAAAAGAAAAAATTCTAAATGATAAAATTATTACATTAGAAGAAATTCTAAATGATGAAATTATGACATTAGAAAGTTTAAAAATTAAATATTCAAAGAGTAAGTCAGGATCTACTCTTCTTGGTAGTCATCTCTGTAGGTTTAGCAATTTCACTGAAAGACTCAAATATGAAGTCTATGTACTTTCATAGAAACAAAAATTAAGTGATCCTGTTTAATTTTCATGAAAAATATCAACATTTATAAATTTAATACACCAGTTGCAAATATTGATTAATTAAATATTTAGTTACTCTGGGTTCCAATGATGAAAATATCAGAAGAGAAAATTACATTTCACACATGGCTAGATGGCTAGATATATACTCAACATGGAAGTTAAATGTACACTATTTGTCAAACAGTATATGCTAGACCCTGTGATAATATCTTATGCCTACTAAGTAAGTCAATCTTCTTAAACATGGGATAACTATCCTTAATTTTCTCAATAAAAATATAATACATATATCATTATTATCATGACTTTCAAAATGAGGATACTGATGTTCAAAGATAAAGTTAAATGAAGATAGTGAGACTCAGAGTTTATGTGTTTTACTCCTAAGATACCTGGCCTCCTTGGTTAACAAAGTTTAACAGGTATACGAATGCTAACTTCCTGACCACCTTGTTCTGACCACCTGCCTTTCTCTGTGAACATATTGCATCTCTAAAACCAGATAATAACTTTTCATAACTTTCTTTAGCATGTGAATTTATCAGGCAAAGTTGTTCACACAGGACTAGACATCAGTCTTATAAAACAGTAAATAAATACCTTAATTATTGTCATCATAATTTTCTTCAGTATTAAGTGGTGATATATAACCATGTGCAATAGTCTTTCTCCTCAGCGGTATGGACTAAAATTGATATATATAGGTAGTCACATAATTTGGGGGAAATTAGAAAAAAAAAGTAAAAGAATAAATTATTGGCTAGCTAATGCAAAGTAAAAAATAAATTTTGTTGTGGGAACCAACTTAAAAATAATAACACAGTCATTCTTTATCAAGAAAGATAAAAAGATATGCCAGAAAGTTAATTTTTCTGTGACTTTTAAAAAATGTGTATCACAAAATAGCATTGAGTTGCAGCCCAGTTTGCATAGAAGTCCATGACAGAAGAGATCTACACTGCTTAAAGAAGACTATTAATCATAGTTAAGCACATTCATCTTATTTCTTTCCAGCTAACCAGCATAATGATCAGGATTATTATTTCTAATTAGAGGAAGTAATAGATCATGTATAACCTTAGGATGAGTCTCATTAATTAACCCAGGTCCTAAGGGACTTCAAATAGAGGTGGTTAGGCACTCTGTCTTTGTCATCGCTCATACCATAGGTTTACACTTAATACATATGATCGAATGTAATTGAAACTACAACTTCTAACACGAACCATATATAAAAATGCAGATAGGTATTCGCATGTGAACAAATAAGTGAAACAGAACCATGGTTTAAACTGTATTAAACTGAAGTTTCCTTGTCCCTAATTATTGTCTGAGAAGAATTTCCAAGTAAAAGGGTCACTTGAGAACTAAAAAGTCTAGTTTGTAATATTCTTAACACTGGAAAGAATGGGGAACTTTTATATTTAAACACCTAAAACTGAGCCAGTGTTATCCCCTGCCACAATGCTTCTCCCTGTCTTTATCATCTTTCTTTTGCAATATCTCATCCTTTTAATTACCAAGATTGTGTGTGTATATATTTTTACACATACACACACACACACACACACATCATTGTGTACTATAAACAACTTTATAGTGTATGTAGACAATTACTTTCCCTTTATTTGATTGAAGTGTGTGTGTGTGTATGCCCATTGACTACTTTAGGATTCTGAAGCCAGTTGGCTCTTCCATAATTAGCTCTTCATTGTCACTTTAATTCCCTAAGGGCAGAATTATTATTCTACACTTTAAGTAATGGACAACCTTTAAACTGAGTCCCTATCCCCATACTTATAATGTGCTAGCTTATAAATAATATGGAAAAAATGGAGTTCAGTAAGAAGTATCAGGACTGAGAGTTAGAATTGTCTCTAATTTTAAGTAAGATGGCCAAATTTTCCCTGATTAAAGTGTGATATTTGAGTAACGACTTAGGGGAGGAACTTTAGCCTATGGATGTCTAGTAGACGGGCAGCTCTAAGAAAGGTACATGCCTGCAAGTTCTAGAATCACCAAGAACAACTGCACAGTTGGAGCAGGGTGAATAACATGGGAACTGGTGAAGACTACTATAGAGAAGGAATAGGAGCTATATGTACAGAGCCTCCAAGGCCTGTGTAAGGACTCTGACTTTCGATTTGAGAGAGATGGCAAAATGTAATGTAATCCTGACTTAACAGTTGAAAGGCTTACTCTTGCTGAGGTTAGGTTGTTAGGAACCAAAGAGTCTAGTTATACCTAGTTATTTAGGGTTTATAGGATAGAGGCATATCCAGAGAGGGGAGCAGGAGAGGTGAAGTGATGGATTCTTCTTATATTTTGAAGACAGAGGCAACAAGATATGCTGAGAGATTGTGTGTAGGGTTTATTAAAAAGTAGAAATTAGGGATATCTTTAAGATGCTTGACCCATTCACATGAAATGATGGAGTTGCCAGTGACTGAGATGGCAAAGATGCTGGGTGAATAGGTTTTGGAGAGAAATTTCTGATACTGTTGGGCATCTAAATGGAGATGTTAAGTAGGCAGGCAAATAAGTGAATCTAGAAATCAGAGCAGAGGATAGATAGATATGCATTTGGAAGTGAAAGGCTTATTGATGGTACTTAAAACCATCATATGAAATGAGATTACCAAGAAGGAGAAGATACAGACAGGTGAGTTATTAAACTAAGACTCAAAACCAGTCTGAATCAAGTTATGCCGTTTAATATTTACTAGATGAAATGACCCCCCCTTATGTGAGTAAGATTTCATAGGATTAGCTCTATTCTCTATAGGGAAGAATCCAGTATAAATTTTAACCTCCTGGAATGCCCTTTATACCCAATTTATAACTATTCTTAAAGGTTTCAGGTATCTTAAACATTCTCTCCCTTTTTCAGTATTGTCTTTGTTATACCTTATTCCCTATCCCAATGTACCTGCAAAATGGGTCTGAAAAGCCCAGGGTTCTGTAGCGATGCCTCAAGCACAATGGTGGGATAATGGAAGGCTGAGAATAGGTCAGGATTCTTTTGAGCTTCAACCAGAGCAACTTGCTTTCACCTGTCTTATCTACTCTTCCAATTAAGATTATTTCAAAGGCTATGTAAGTATTTACTTCCAAAAACAAACAGGTTTAGGCTGACAGAATTTTTTAATATATATGTATATTTTGGGTTTTCTCCCATTCCACCAAAATTTATAAGAAAAGGGTACAATATTTTAGGATGGTAGTAAATCATTATTTAAAATAACTTGAGGTGCCTGGGTGACTCAGTCATTTAAGCATCCATCTTCAGCTCAGATCATGATCTCCCAGTCCAGGGGTTTGAGCCCCACATCAGACTCTGTGCTAACAGCTCAGAGCCTGGAGCCTGCTTCCGATTCTGTGTCTCCTTCTCTCTCTATCCCTCCCCCTCTCATTCTCTTTCTTTCTTTCTCTCTCTTAAAAATGAATAAACATTAAAAAACATTAAAAAGAGTTAAAATAACTCAATTTTACATCTTCAAAATTCTATGTGAAATAAAAATTGAAAATTTATCACATTAAAGACTACATTATAGTTCAAAGAGAATTAGTAAAGAATGATATATTAGTGTTATCTAATTCCTGGATTCCATTTAGGTTTTACCACTTGTCCAGTAATGGCTTTTATAACAAAAACAGCTAGTACAGAATCACATTAACTTCCTGTTTTTGACAGACAGTTGTGCTGTGTTTATGTAAGACAATGTTCTTGTGTATAGGCAATCCTAAAGTAAACAAGAGTGATAAAATATCATTTTAGCAACTTACTCTCAATTGGTTCAGTGTAAAAATGTTATTTGAACAGTCCTTTTAACTTTTCTGTAAATTTTAAATTCTTTAAAAGTATAAAAATAAAAATATCAGATCAAAATATAAAAAATTACTGTAAGATATTTCCATAAAACTTTTTTCATCAAAATCAGATATACTGAGTTCCGGAAACAAAGCAAACTTTGTATTCTTTAATCTATTTAAATTATTATAAATATACATGATTTACATTTCAATACAAAATAGTTCTGTTAGACTGTATTCTGAATTCTATAAGTTAGTTCTTATCTGATATTGACCTCTCAGGAAAACAAAATCTCAGATCATATAGACTGAAATAAGTAATGTAAATATCATATCTAGTAATACCTACATTTTTCCTTCTTTCATACTTTTCAAGTTACAAAAGGATTAACTGAAGATGAGTGTTCCCATACTCAATAAAGAGAATAACATAATGTAAAATAAAATATTGAGCCTCTTCAAAGATTTTGATATCAAGTCTCTTTTCTTCACTCAGGGTCAAGAAATTTTAACATGTTTTATTAAGTATAAAGTCTCCATGCCTGGTTCCGTCTGTATTCAATTAGGTGCCATTGTGGATCTTTCATACTGGTTACAATTAGGTTCTGCAGCTTGTAACAGAGAAAGAACAAAACCAAAAACAAATAAAACATAAGAGTGGTTTTGAGAAGGTTTTATCAGGCCTGGTACTATCTTTCCTGTCCCTATCTGTGGCATTCTCAAGGTTGCTTTGTTATCAAAGATGGATGCTGGTCCTTAGAATATCACATTTAATGCTGGCATCCAGAGGAAGAAGACTAGAAGGTCTTACTCTTCCTTTTTAAAGAGTATATCTGAGTTTCCATAAAATATTTCTGTATTAGTCAGTTTGGGCTCTAGTAATAAGGTATCATAGATGGGTGGCTTAAACAAGAGACATTGATTTATCACAGTTCTAGAAGCTGGAAAGTTCAAGATCAGGGTGACAAGTTAAATTTTATTCTGAGGCTTCTTCTCTGGCTTATTGGTGGCTGCCATCTCTCTGTGTGCCTAAACTACCTCTTTTTGTGTGCAGAAGGGGGGATAGATCTTTCTTTTTCAAGGGTACTAATCCCATCATGAAGCTCCCGCTGTCAGATCTTCATCTAACCTTCATTGTGTCCCAAAGCCTCTCTCTCCAAATACCACCATGCTGTGGGGGTAGGACTGCAACATAAAATTTGGGGAAGCACAATTCTGTCCATAGCAACTTCCAAATATAGACAAAACACAGACCCATTTTTTTTCTACATAGACTACTTATTTGCATTCTTATATGGCAAGACACCAAATGTTACAACTTCTTAAAGCTCTTCAAAAGAAATATATATTTAAATTCCACAAACAGCAGCAACAACTTCCAAGGTTCAGATGTGATAGGAGGGACCAGTGTTTCAAAATTACCTTTTGCCCAGAGTTCTTTCAATAAAGATGAAGAGGAACAGAAGAAGTAAATGACAGTGGCAGTCTTTGACAGTATGATGCTGCTCCTTCTTCCAGGAGTAGTAGTGCACGAAGTAGTTGTTTATTTTTAACATGTCAGACTTGAAAATGATCATGCAGCACTATGGTTTTGGTGCTCTCAAATTTAGGAATTCTATCTTTGGTCTTTTGGCTTCCAAATTTACTCTGCTGGATTGGCCTTCTTATAGTAACAAAGTGTAACCAGCTTTTAGAGCTTTTTGAATAGGGCATTGAATAGGATAACACCATTAAATGATCCCTTCACACCACAGAGTTAGTGGTGCTGGTGTTTTAATCACATATTATCCCTTAAATATAGATTGTGTTAGGTCAGGAGCTTGTCTAACATCATTATCAAAGGGGCTCTATTCCACCGTGCCAGCTAACTTATAAATAGATATCTAAGGTTGTCGGTGTGTTTTTTTTTTATTTTTTAATAGTTTTTATTTATTTTTGAGACAGAGACAAAGCATGAGCGAGAGAGGGGCAAAGAGAGAGGGAGATACAGAATCTGATACAGGCTCCAGGCTCCAAGCTGCCAACACAGAACCCAATTCGGGTCTCAAACCCACGAACCATGACATCATGACCTGAGCCAAAGTCAGATGCTTAACCAACTGAGCCACCAGGCGCCCCTTTAGTGTTTGTTTTTATGTAGTCTTATTTTGTAAGCCTACTTTGTGGTAAGAAGATATATGAGGAAAAGATTGCTAATTGATTTTATTCTTCCTGTATTTCCCTTTGGCATATTTGACTTTTGTGCTTACAGAGCTTCCCCATTCTTTAAATTTGTTATTTATTTAAATAATCTACTACTAATCCATTTGACCTTTTTATCCATTTACCCACATCAAAAAATGACATCTACATTTTTGAGATCTTGTAGACTGCATTCTTGTTCTGTATCTTGGTACTGACCTTTATTTGGTAAATAGTTATGAGGCCTTTAAATGTTCCAGTATATTTGTATTTCTGAAAGGCATTCCAAAACATTTTTTCAAATACATTGCAAATATTTGACCCAGTGTGAATTTAATATAATCTAATTTATTTTAATAGAATTGTAAGCTGAATGTTGAGTTTGAGGAAGATCACCCTAATGAGTGTTTGAGTTCAGACTTAATGTTTTGCAAAAAACCCTTATTTACCTTGAGATTCTCACCTTTATTTAAAAATAAGCAGTAACAATTCAAATTAGGTGCAAAAATAAAAATCCACATCTGTTAGCATTACCTTCTTTTGAACATGCAAACTTTGAGAGCTCTGATTTTATAATCAGATGAAAAATAAAGGAAATGTAATATAGTCTTTAGGTAAAGCTGTGTTTGGGTATTTCTTTATTCTAGCTTTTAAATGAGAGAAGAAGGGCACACATTCCAAGTCAGTAGCTTAACCTAGGAGGCACTCTATATGTTAATTGACTGAGCACATTTGCTTCAGGAAAGTTACTACAAATCCAGCTCATCTATCTTATCTCCTACCTGAATTATAGCCAAACCAGGAATAAGGATCCTGTCCTCTTTACAGAGGAAAGTAAACCAGAGACAGATACAGTTGATGATGATGACAAGTTGAGTTAGAGCAGAAAAATTAAGAATATTTTACTCAGCATTCTGTAACTAATGTGAAGATTTTAACATTTCCCCAGTGCTTATACTCACTGGAAGAACTGTATTTCACTTAAGATTAGAGGACACCATATTAGAAAAATATTTTAATTTGTGTTGTTTAAACTAAAAGGAAGAAAGGCCATCATATGGTAAAATGATTGTTTTTAATTGTCTCATTACATATTTAAGAGTACTTTCTAAGAGAGAAAAATCATAGCAATAAAGGATAGCTTGAATCTACTTTAAAAAATACACTGATCTAGAACTTTTCAATTTAATATTGAGAAGGCTCCAGTATTTGTATATTTTGTTACTAATTTTTTTTTTTGCCAAACTGTATTTAGACAGGATTTATATAATGGTAGACTGAATAGGAAAATGTGTATTTAAGAGTCTACCTGTTAACATTGAAGTCTGGTAAATTGCAAGAGTTCTTCCTTACCATCGTCATCAAAAAGAGCTTTTACCCCCTTACATACCAACAAAGCGCTATCATTTTTTTTAGATTTATTTCCCTTCGTGGTATGTTTCACTGCTAACTACATGTTTGCTTGCTTACTATTTCTCATCTAGAATATAAGCGCCAGTAGGACAGGCACATTTTCTTGTTGAACCAAGCAATCAGGATCGGCATATAGTAGAAGCACAGTCAATTTATGCATTCCTATTTAGCAAACAGGCTTGATTCACTGGCCTTCTACTCCCTAGGCAAGGAAGGAAAACATTGAGGTGGGGCACCTGGGTGGCTCAGTTGGTTAAGCATCTGAGTTCGGCTCAGGTCATGATCTTACCGTTCCTGGGTTCCAGCCCCGCATAGGGCTCTGTGCTGACAGCTAGCTTAGAGCCCGGAGCCATTTCAGATTCTCTGTCTCCATCTCTCTCTGACCCTCCCCTGCTCACGCTGTCTCTCTCTCAGAAATAAATTTAAAGAAAAAAAGAAAAAACTTAAAAAAAAAAGAAAACATTGAGGAAACATTGTGTACTGGAGGGCAGTTAGGCTGAAGGAGACCTCAAACCTTACTTCCTAGTTGACAAGTGATTGGATAGATGGATTCCACACATGCCCCAAACCTCTAAAGTAGGTGTCATCTGTCATCTATAAAGTTGGGGCTCTCTATATTTTAATCCCTTTATTTTCTTCTATTCTTTCTCCTCCCACTATCTTTTGTTTCATTCTGGCTGGTTTACTCACTGTCTCACCAATTGTACCTTTTGTTTTCATCTCATGGCTATTCCTTCTTCATAGCTGCTTTCCTCTCTGCCCTGTACCTAGTTGGACCCTACCTCTTTCTGTGGAGTGAGTATGCCTATTGATGGAGATATAGTCAAAGCACAGGGCTCAATTGAGTTACTAAGCAGATTTATCTATCCACTTATATTATAGAACTGAAGAGCCATATTCTTAAAACTGCTATTTGGTATTTCATAAATTAGAAATTACATGGGTCCTCTTCATACATCATGTGAATAATTTGTCCATCTATCCAAATTTTCTTCTAGATTACTCCTGTTCCTGGTACTCATCCACTGTTAGTTTTTGTGAACCCCAAAAGTGGTGGGAAACAAGGAGAACGGTATGTTTTTAAAAATCAGATTCATTTTCTATGTCATCTGTATATAAAAAGATAAACTAGATGTAAATGTAATGACATTTTAAAACATTATTCCCTATGAGTTACTCATTTTAATGTAAAATAAATAATTCCAGCATCGACGTGTAATATAATGATAAGGTCTCTCCCTATTCTTACAGTTCAAATTTTAATATAATAATGGCATTTTGTAAATATTTTTATTATCATATCTCAGGTCTGAGTTCTCTCTGCCTTACCTATCACCGGTAGCCTTTAACAAAGACTTTTGCATAAAATATGGCTCCATAAATACTGTTGAATGAAAATTCTTTCTCTAAATGGTCAAAAGGGTGACTTCAGGTAAATCATCATTCTATAGTGAGGAACAGAATTTATATTCAGCTTGTAGACAAATTATATTATAATGATTTTCTGTCTGTGCATTTTTGCAGTACATGATGCCATATATTCTTAAGGAGAACAATCTGAATTATAATCTGAATTATAATGAGTTGCATTATCACATGTCTCGGCATTCTGGCACACAACACAGAAGTTTCATTTTTGTAAGAAATTAATGATTAAATCATAACAATTAATAAAAATTTCAAAATCCCATTGAAGAGTAAATCTTATGTCCTTCTAAAAAGGCATGTCATAAACAAAAATGCAGTGTGTCTATAATAATTTCTAGAAGTCTTTACTAATCTCAATGAAAAAAATGAGCAGATAAAAGCATCCATACAAACAATATGATAATAAAACAGAAATTTGTACTGTGACTTATCAAAAAATGAAGTTGAAATGTTTTCATGGTAAGTGGGATTTTATCATTTATTCTCCTGCCACCTAACTTTCCAGCTTTACTTCAGTGAAATGAAGAGTGATATTTATTCATTTTCCAATCAACAAAATATTATTTCTGCTTAGCTTTTCTTTTTTTCCTTTATCAACATGTAGTTATATAATTTTTTACTCTACTAAACATTATAGAAATTATTTTAAATTACTAGTGGCTTAATAATTAAAAACGTTTATAATGTTTTATTAAAGACAACAGTTGCCTCACTTTTAGACACACAAAATAGTAATTAAATAATAATCTAAAGTTATTTTCTCCTTTACTATATACAGTCTGTCAGCTTTATATATTATGCATGTTTGGGAAAAAAGCAAATTCTTTACAAAGAATTAGATAAGCGTTAAATTCATGTTGGAAATTAGAGACGAATGAAGTATCAAGAGAAAAAAAGGAAAGGTGTATTTTCAAAGGGAAAGAATTCCTTTCAATTTAAGAGAACATGGGTCACGCATGATGACCCTTAACTGAATATCTGATTCCAGCTCATCCTGTTAAAAAACTACATAGATATACTGAAGTCATAAACAAATTAAACTTAATGGTGAGAGGGATGATACTGGAATGCTCCTAATTTTAGTGAATGAATAAGAATCATCTTTCATGAATAATGATATTCCATTCAGGGTTTCCTTTAAAAATATTTGGTTTTTAACTTTGATATGTTAGATAAGTAGCAAAAGGTTACAAATTATATCTTCACACAAAGTTTTCCATACTAGCCAACAGGTGTGAAAACGTTCATGTATCATTCATTCATTCGAACAGCCAAACCTGAGTGAATCCAAACTCTACTAGGAAGTGGGGATAAAACACGTAAGATATATCTATGCAAGGAGGCAGTCATAGACAGATAAACTGCAGTACCACGAGATGAACACCAAACTAAAAATGTTTAAAATAAAAATGCTGTTGAAGTTCAAAGGGAGAAATGGCTATCTCTGAAGACAAAAGTTTCTTTGGACAGGAACTAGTTTTGAATTAATTGTGATATAAGTAGATGTTTGCCAGGTGAAGGAAGTAGAAAGATTTATGAAGGGGTATGGTGTTTATTAGGGAACCAGGAGATAATCACTGAGTTAAAGTTTCAGGGAAATGAGGGGAAAGGTAAGACGTAAACTATTTTAAATACAATAAAATAATTTGTATTATAAATAACTTGACACTAGCAGAAACGTTTCATCCTGGAAACAGCATGACTGTACTTAACCAGCTCTATGTAAGAGGGCTGGACAAGCAAGAATTTTACAGAGCTGGTGAAACAACTTGAAATCCTGAACTAAGGCAGTGAGAGAGAATAGCCAGGTTTGATAGACATTTCTGATAGGAAGGGCCAGATTGTTCTCTAATTGGGTTCAGGTGCTGGGGAAAAGGAAGTACCAGAAGTACTAAGAATGAATCTTAAGGTCTTTATTGAGACACTAGATCATATTGATCATATTAATCAAGATGTACAATGTGAGATTATTGCAGATTTGGGAGTGGAGTGATATATACAGATACTACATAGTGAATTTGAGGAGTTTCTATCAGTAAACATAGTATGAATGTGTTTATAAAATATATGGTAAAATTTTCCCATGTATGTAAAATCTAACTTTTAAAAATGAAATATATTCTTTCACTTTTAGTATTTCATTTAAGAATAACAATATGGGAGGTATATGTACTTAGAAATATTTGTACTGCATTTGTTGTATGATGACTGATTTCTTTTAGAAAAAAATTATTTAATATGTGCCTGTTGAGGGGCACCTTGGTGACTAAGTAGGTTGAGCATCGGACTTTGGCTCAGGTCATGATCTCACCATTCCTGAGGTTAAGCCCCGTGTCAGTCTCTGTTCTGACAGCTCAGAGCCTGGAGCCTCCTTTGGATTCTGTGTCTCCCTCTCTCTCTGCCCCTCCCCTGCTCACACTCTGTCTCTCTCTGTCTCTGTCAAAAATAAATAAACATTTAAAAAAATTTTTTTAAAGTGTGTCTGTTGAAACAGTTTAGCAATTGTGTGAGCTGACTGATCAAGATTATTGTTTTTGTGGCATAAGTAAGCAGATGAGGTCACGTTCTTTGATTACATATACACATACAACATGCCCTGTCCCAGTTTTTATGTGGGATAGTTTTCATATATTGATTAGGTTTCCCCAATAACCTGTAAATTTCACAAGGGTCAATTAGGAGAAAGTATGTTAGTAATTTTATTCTTATATTCTTAAAAATATATTTGAAATCTAATTAGCCAAATAATATTCAAAAGCAAGATAGAGAATATTCTAAATGCATATGCATATTTAGAATGCAAATATCATTCTTTCTAATTATAAACTATATTACCTATATATTGGCTACTAAGCCTTTTTTTCAAAGAACCATAATTTCTTATAAAGCTGCTATATGTCTAATATTATTAATATAAAAATTTTCATATATATTTAGTTACAACCATATATATATAATAACATTAAAAGATGTTACTTAAACATTGGGGATATCACTCAATTTCTTTTTTTTTCACATATTTTCATTTTTATAGAATTTACAGAAAATTCCAGTATCTGCTAAATCCTCGTCAGGTGTACAGTCTTTCTGGAAATGGACCAATGCCAGGGTAAGTCCACTGAAAATATTATTACCATTAACTAATTTAATATTGACTAATAAACTAAGCAGCCTTATGTACCTAGAAATAGTGTTATTTGAATACACAGCCAGAGTAGTATACAAAAAAACATTGAATATCAACTCTATAATAGTAACCAGTGCAGATGCTATTTTTCAAAATAGTCCGTTTCCTGCAGATACTTTTCCCTTTTAAGTATCGTGAAGTACTGTTACTATCACCGCTAATCTCATACACTTGCTTGCTGGCTGCCTAAATATCCAGACCAAATGAAGATCTACCATAAAGAAAGAGCTAGTTAACAAAGAATAGAAATCATAACATGATTTTTTTTTCATTTGCCACTTACAAAATCTAGTGACTATGACTCTTTCCCAAGATACTTTATTAATAGGTAGAAAACGACATCTTTTTTCCAACAGAAACATATAATTTGATACACTAAAGTCATTCATCATTAATTTGGCCTAACTTACTAATATATTCCACTGATCTGTTTTCTATCAACATGAGAGTAAACTTTAGACCAGGTGAGGTGGTAAGAAAATCTTTAATGCTTACATGAGCTTTTGGAACAACAACAACAAACACATCAGTGTGATTAAACTAAGTCTTCTAGGTTTTTCTTGGAAACTAGAAACCAAATATCGAAATTGGATTCTTTTAAATGTGCAGAACAAAATGTATACCATTATGTCTTATGTTAAATAAATGTAAATAATACACAACTAATTAGCGCAGGTGCCCGCAATATATACGTCTCTTTCTTCCACTCCCTGCTACCTGTTGTTAATGCCAGCTGAGTAGTGATCTGGGGAACCTCCTTGCTGTAAAAGGCAGGATCATCATAAGCATTTAGTTTAGTGTCTTTGTCAAGCTCCAGACTCCAGAATCTAAACTATCATGTTCAGATTATTGGCTATGTGAGCCACATGCAGGAAGACCCAATTTAAAGAAAGCCAAGCAAAGTAAAGTTTGATGTTAACACAGAAGCTTAGTCAGGATGACTCTTTTTCTCATTTTTGAAGCGGTAGTTCTTATTCTGCAGGATTAAGCAATGATGTATTCAAAAGTTGAGCCATTCTAGGACCTCTTTAGCACTATCGTGACCAGTAAATCCAGGATTTTCCTGTCTCTCATAATTAAATGCAACCCCCACTGACTGCTAATTGCAAACCTCTGTGTCTTCATTGTCTTTTTCTGTAAAATGAGTACCTGCCTCACAGAATAATTGTAAAGTTAAATGGGATGATGCTTATGAAGCATATAAGACTAAGCTTACTATGTATAGCCTCAATTAATGTTATTTATTATCAATATTATTTATAGTAATTAGTTAATAATTACATGTTTATAGCTCTATATAAATACACTGCAATACACTGCCTTGTTTCCTCATTTAATTTTTTCCCACTCCACGTTATGCATGTACAACATGTTTCCTTTCCCTCTTTCAATTTTAGCCATCCTATTACCCTCTACTCTGTATTAATATATTAAAAAAATAAAAGCAATGTATGTAGTTATGAAAATTTACATGTAATAAATATTACTTAGAAAGTGTTTTAAGGGCCCCACTTCAAGCACTAACACGTATTACCCTGCAAGTTCTTTGTGTGTATCCTCCCGGAACTTCTTATAGGAGCATAAAACCTGAAGTATATATGTGTTGTATTTACATACAACATGTTCATATATGTAATGTATTCATACACACATATATATTGTATAGATAGGTTTTTTATTGAACTTGAATATAGGTCTTTTACTCTGAAACACTTATTTTTTTTTACTCTGCAACTTGCAACTCTTATTCTGAAATTTGAATATTTTTTACTCAAAAGTGTATGATGGATGTTGTTTGAGTTGAACAGATAATGATCAGTTTCATTATTTTTAAGAGCTACACAGTATTCCGTAGTTTTGTTAGCTGTACCATGATTGATAAACATTGAGATTGTCTGTACTTTTAAATATTACCAAATATGCTGTTAACATTTATCAATTTATTCATGTTTTTTGAAACCATATTCAAATATTTTCATAGAATAGGTCGATAATAGGTAGAATTGCTTGGTTGAGAATATTTTCCATTTTTGTTGTGTAAGGTTCTGCCAAGGTTCTATATAAAAAGCTTAGATTGAATGATAATCCCAGAAGTAGTATATAAGGCTTATTTCCCACCATGTTCTTTAAATGGGCTATCTTCAGTATTTTCTATTTTTGTCCCATGTAATAGATGAAGATATATTTGTGTCATTTTTATTTGCATGCCTTTGATCACTTATAAAGTTCCATATGGCATTAATTAGATTTGCTTTTCTATGAACAACAGAATGAAGTTACTCCTAGAATTTATTGAAAAATAAAGAACTCTGTTTCAGTAAAGATAGGGATCAGGACAATTTAAGGGAATAGAGAAGCAGGGATAAATGACAATGTCTCATGGGAGTTGTTGCTGAGACAAATTGATTCCAGTTGCTTTTGGTATTCTTATTTCTCTAGAAATTCACACCCCAGGAAGAAGTATATTTATTGGTTTCTCTTGTTTCCCAAGGCATAGCCTTGGCTTATTTAGGATGGAACATCTTGACTCACTGTCCTGTCAAGGATCTATGTAAATGGCTTGTTCCCTCAAAGATGCATGAGGGTGCTATAACCTGAGGATGAAAAATGAATTGTCAGAGGGAATAAACAAGAGGTGTTTGACACATCCAGTCCTTGGGTTGTCTAATATCCCTTCAATTCTCAATACATTGATTGAAAAACAAAATTATGCTATTCACTATATTGCTACTACTAAATGCACAGCTGAAAAGACACATTCTCCTAAAATGTAGACAACCCAAAGTCTCAGATGTCCAGTTCCAAGTCCTGGTTTGCTGGAAACATCTGTGGAGATGACTATTTTCTCCTCTCTTTCTATACATTTGGACATAACATAAAGAAATGTAGGGGGTAAGCTAAAATGTTAACTAATAGGAATTTAATGGGATGATGTTTTTAATAATATAAGGAATGAGACACATGTAAAGTCTATGTCCCTGGTTTTGTTACTGGTTGAAAATTGTAGCTGAAACTTAAAACATTTCTCCTGCATATATGTTTTTATCCAGTGCAGTTACTTATTTTCCCTGGTAGTTCTGAGACATTGGTAGTATTCTTTGTATAGGACTGTATCAGTCTCTCGTTTACCTTTACTGAAAGACATGGTGGTACATGACAGTATTCGTCTTAGCTATCAAATACTTCCAGGTTTCCTCCCAGGCACTGATTTTAGGGTACTTCCTTTTCCCTTGCTATTTAGAATGTCCATATGGGTCTCTCACAAAGCACTGTGGACAGAAAGTAGATATGCCATACTATCTTTTCCTTTACTACAGCAACCAGCAGTATTCTAGATATTGGCTCTTTTCTTGGCTTAGATCAAAGAGTGAAGAGAGGGAGACACACTCATCACCTTACCAATGATCCCCATAGAATGGGGGATAAATAAGCCTCTGTAAGGTGATGCCACTAGGACTTTGGGTTATTTGTTATTATATATAACCTGGCATAGGGGAGAGGTCCTATTACTACTCTCTATTCCCACTGTACAGCCACAGACCTATTTCCCTTGAGAATCAGAGTCAACTGTATCAGTCACAACCATATGCTTTTTTTTTTTTTTCATTGTTTTGTTCTGTTTTGTTTTTGCTTGTTTGTCTAGTGGTGTGACAAACCTCAAAATGTTCAGGTGTCAATTTCAGGTTCTAATTCACTGAAAGCTGTATTGTCTAATATGGCGGTATTATTGACTTTGATGTTAAAACATCTTCATGATGATAGTTTAAAATCAAAGGGGTGGGAACCAAACTTTCAAAGTATGTATACTCGTCAGTGTTCTTCAGAGAAACAGAACAAACAAATTATACAGAGAGAGTTTATTATGAGGAATTGGCTTATTTGCTATTAGGGACTGACAAGTGCAAAATCTAGAGTTGATATTTCAGTTTAAGTCTAAAGGCTGACAATCTGCTTTAGAACCAGAAAGAGCCAATGTCCTCGGTTGATAGCCATCAGGCTGATGAATTCTCTCTTTTGTTCAGCGTTTTGTTTAATTTGACCTTCAGCTGATTCAGTGAGGCCCACCCACATTATGGAGGGCAATCTCCTTTACACAGTCTACCGATTTCATTATTAATCTCATCCAAAAATCACCCTCACAGAAAAAAACAAAATAATGTTTGATTAACTATCTGGGCACCCCATGGCCCAACCAGGTTGATCATAAAATTAACCATCACATTGGGTCTTAAGGATAATTGTAAGTTTAATCACTTTAGCTTTACCTTTTTGTCCCAGACCATGTTTTTTTCTGACATGTGTAAGCAGTGTCACCTAGTTTAGACCATGTGCTACAGCAGTTTGTAGTACACCATTTAAGTGCTCCCACTGATTGAGGGAGTCTTCAGTAGGCTGTTGCAGTGTTCTCTTGACCAACTGCTTCTGCCTGGTAAAACAGAAGAGAAGGCTTTCAAGTCTTAGGGGCGTCAACTTACTGTCCTTCCTTCTGTGTGAAAGGAATTTTTTGAAGGGAAACAGCAGTATGTGAGACACTATGATAGTGTGTGAGGCATTCAGTAACTCAGTTACTGTGGCCTTTAGGAGAAACATAATGGGAAGGAAAACTAAATCCAGTTTGCTAGAATAAATGTCTACTGCAGTGAGGCAAAAGGCTGCAGTCCCATTATGGAAGGAGTCAGATTAATTTAGGCTACTCCTAAATAGTTGTCTGAGTCCCTAGAAGTAAATCAACACATTGGAAATCACTCATTGGTTTCTTTGATGACCTGAGCACTCATGAGTCTAACTACCCTTCTTGTTTAAGATAAATTAATGTTTACATCTTTCGTAACCTCCACGCCTACCAGTGTAAACATGAGCCTTTTTGTGCACATTCCCTAGGAATAACTAAGGAAAAATGATGATTGGGATTCCTTTGGGTC